TGTAGGGTACTTCACTTATTCCAAATTCCTCTGCTTAAAGCTTCTTCATGTGCTCACAAACTTCCTTTTTTTCCCTGCTGAGCTTTCTAGCTTTTCTTTAGAATTGAATTTTTAGGTCTGCCAGTTAGAATTGTTTAAATTAACTGTATCTGCTTTCAATCCATGCAGTCATTTATTTGTGTGCTTAAAGATTAGCTTCTCTCAGCATTTGTGGTCTCAGAAATTGAAAATATACCTGCTGGAGAACATTATCAGTGTTTCTTTTCTCTTGTCTATCTGGCTGGTCCAAGCAATGAAGCTTTTGGATTACCTGGAATAGAAATTAGCTATAATTCTGAACCAAGACAATTTCTGAGCTTATCTGTATAAACAGTCAGAAGCCTAATGAAACAAATACAATAGCATGCATGTTCCTCAAATCCCCTTTGTTCAGATTGTCCAGCATCATTCTAGTACATAAATTTTCTTTCTAAAGTAACTTCAAGTTTATATCAATATCTTTTAATTACATTACCTACATTGTTCCTACACTATTTTTCTATTGAAAAAATATTCTTCCATCTTAACTCATGTTAAAACTATGGATTGAATGTTTGTTGCCCACACTCAGAAATGAAATTTTCTGCTTGAACTAGTCAGATTCTCATTCATATCAATGTTATAGTACTCTAGCTTCATAAAATTTTGTGTTTTACACAGTGTTCACACAGAGAGGGTTTCATTTGGTCATTATAAAATGATCTGAAGGCTCAGTTTGAAGTGAAAAAAGTGTATAAAAAGTCTAATTTAGTTAGGGTACAACCATAATCACAACTAGTTGTTTGCAAGGTATATGAGCTATATTTGTAGACTTTTTTAAATGTGCATATTGGCTCTATACTTGAATAAATTGTGAGGATTAGTAGTGATTTCACAACAGTCACTAATAAAAGATCATACCTCCTAATTCCCTAGCAGTTCTCTTGTAAACACTTTATGCTACTCAGTGAATGAAATAAAATTTCTGTCAGTTACGTCCATTTACTTCACAAATATTTATAAAGACTCTTCACACAGCCAGGTCTACACAGGTTCCAGAGAATCACTCCCCCTGTGGTACATCATGGTAACATGACTGGAAAGGCAGATTAGACACAAATGGTCATGGAAAAATAATCAACATTTCTGAGTATAGGTCATCGTAGGGTATAAAAGCTTTATATTACATAAACATTTATAATGCAGCAGTTATGTGTCAAAAATTATTATTGCTTCAAATTATTTAATAACTGTTTTCCCCACTGACACCATGTTTTAAAGGAATTTATCTGCCCAGTATAGTCATTCTGTGATTATTTTCTCATTCACTTTTACCAAAAACTAAACAAATTATTGCCGATCAAAATACATTAGTTGATATGTTGATAGCACTACTTCCCCCTTCAAAGAAAGAAATTGTTTTCCTTACATTTATCACAATTATGTATTTCCCAGTTTTTTAAAAACATGAAAAAAAATCTCCATTACTGATTCAGTGACTTCACTGATCAAATCCAATCCTCTCACATGTTAATATTCTAAGATACATTTTGTTTTGTTGTTCTACTGGTTTCACTTAACTTGAGCTCATACCCTCTTCTCTGAACATCTACTTTGAGTGTTGCATGAACGAACATTGTCTCAGGAGAGCAGGAATTAAATTGGAAAGGAAACAAATTTATGACCTTCATAAAGACTCAAGGTGCTTTTCTACTTAGCTCAAGTGGTTGCTTAACAGGCATAAAGTATTGGTGGTATTTGATGACTCTCTGTGTGAATTTATGCCCAAGTAGTTGTTAAGTTGACAGTTATTGGGGGTGAGAGGGGAGGAGCAGGATTAAATGCAGCTGAGCTGGAGCCCAATAGACCCAGTTCTACATCTATTCAAAGTTCTCACATATACTGCACAAGCAACCTCCTACTCTCTTCTCCCTCCCATAAGCCTATACATACAAGTAAAATTTTTCACCCTATTTCCCTACACTGAGATACCATGGTGAGTTGTGCAGTTTTAAAATCCCTGGATACTGTTACAGGGCAGAAAGAGGGGTACCACAGAACCCCCAAACCTTCCTGCTCTAAATAGGTTCTGCCATTGGCCGCATCAAGACAAAACATTTTAGATCTTTAATGGGAAGAAACTTTAATACAACTAGTGTATTATATCTAAATCAGGCACCCAGAGTTACTAATCCCCTGATAGGTAAAAATCCACCCAAACAGGATTGACCCAAATCAAGGCCCAAAAGCCTGCCACAAATGCCACAAGTCTAAAGACCTTTCAGCAGGGACCAATAGAAAAGGGCCAGAAACAGCCAGACAAGTCTGGGAGAAATTAGGGAAATTAAGAAATTAGGGAAATTAAGAAATGAATTACTCAGAGAGAATAAAAGGGAGATAAGTTGGTTAATGCATCCTACCAGTTCTGCTGACCTGAAATCTCAAAGGCATGCTCAGAGCCGTTGAAAACCAAAAGTACAGCTGAGAGCTTCCCAAACCCCACATGTCTGGTTTTATGTCAAACCTGGCTGCTTAACTCCACCCTCAGGTCCCAGCAATTCTCCCGTTGGTGATGATGGGATTTGTAGCTCCTGGTGTCTTAATCTCTTTGGTCTGGAGTGGAGGTAGAGTCCACAAAAGCTGTGTCTGTAGAGTTTGTTCAGGCCAGCCTTTCCCCCTAACATAAGCAGAACTAAATATACAGATTTGTTAATAGCTAATTTGTTGATAAGGTTACTGATGACCTTTCTTTTTTCTGGATGTGCAGAAAATTTTAACAATGAGCATATATTTTTTTAATCAAGAAAAATAGCATTTGTAATGAAAGTTGCAAAAATAAATGCATAGGGCCACCCTGGTGGCATATGAAGCTGTGCCTGCAGCTTCTAGTGCTATCTGCAGTACAAGTTCGATCCCCAGCCAGGAGATGACTGACCCATATGGTGCAGCAGACCTCTCCTGTCTTGCCCACTGCTCCCCTCAGCAGTGTATTTCAGTCAGTCCACCTATTCTGCCCCCCCCTTCCGTCTCTGGTGAGTCCTCTCACCCTCCTCTGGTCTACACCCTATCTCTAAAAAATAAATATTTAAGAAATAAAGTAAATGCATAACAGTCCAACATAGATTCCTGCCATAGCAATGCAGCTTTCTACAGTTTTATTCAGTATGCCTTTTCAGGTCAAATGTCAGATGGTAAATAATGTACCCTTTCATTTATGTAGTTCTTTACACAGATTTTCTCACATGAGATGTTTAGTGATACTTAATCAATTTAGTAATGGTAGGGGATAGGTCATATTATCCCACAACAAGAAAATTGTGGGTTAGATATATTACCTGCCAAGAATTATGTGATTAGCAAATAGGAGAAATAAAACCATATTTCTGAATCCTAGCACAACTTTTCTTTTTTATATGCTATATTTTTCCCTCCTAAATATATAAATTGCTACTAACTCCTACGGAACTTAGAAATATAAGACCCAGTTACTGCCATCATGCAGCTTATAATACAATTGGGGCAAAATGACACATGTTGTGAGTGGGTTAATTGGCAGTTCAATTGAAGGTCCATTGTAGTTCCTAATGCAAAGCCTGGCACACAGTTGGCACTCAAGAAATGGTGGCCAGAAGGGCGATGGGCAGAAGGGAGATACATGGGTGGGCAGAAGGGAGATGAAGTGATAAGTCAAATAGCTTTATATCGAGGGAGGAAAAAAGTTTATTGATTACAAATGGCTAAATTTCAGTAAATACCTAAGGATATTTGTCGGTCAGAACATTTCAAAAAGATAAAAGTAGACTGGGAAGGCCTTTGGGAACTTAGAAGAATACAGTTTGACTCTTTTACCAGAGAGGAATTCCAGACCAAGGGCTCAACATGCAGGGAGAGTGAGTCAGAGAGCAGTGTACAGCTAGGAACTGTGAAGGAATGACTGTACTGGAGCTAACTAATCGTTATGAAAGTAGAATGGGACTATATCACAGAGATTCTTTAAATTCCAGCTGAAATATTTAATCCATATGCATGGGCAGAAACTATTACTTAAAATATTATTATTAAAATGTTTTAAGCAACAAATCTGGTGGAATTATGACTTTTAAATATAGATTAGGAGGCATTTTAAGACAAAGCAGAGATTTAAGTATTTAACTGGTATTTAAATATTTTTAGAAAGAACTGAACAGTAACATCCATCTGTATCATTGTTAAAAAGTTTCTATAAGTAATTGAAGTTTCTGAAATAGTCATGTGAAATTCAGCTTTAAATCAATAGGTATTCTCACTGAGAACTAAAAGATTATAACACTTGAGTGTAATAAGCTAGCATTAAAGTCTAAAGGCCTCCAAATATTCCATGCATAAGGTTTAATAAATTTTTCATATTCTGGAAGAAAGAGAATTTATATCTTCTGGGATGCACAACCAAAATACTAGATATGTCAGAAAATTGATTATTTCTTGCATATAATTTCTTACTGCACTAGGAGAAGTTGTATACATTTTCGCTTCTCTTTAAACTTATTATCTTACAAAATTAAAGATGCTATCACTTGAATACCTTTGGTTAACTTTAAGGCCTTGGAGTAAAACGATATGTGTTGGAACCCACTTCAGCAACTGAACTTAGCTAAGATTCTCTCTGTTCCCCAGTATTCTCATCCACAGATGATGATAATATTAGCACTAACCTCTTAAAGTTATTGGGAAGATTCAATATAAAAATGTAGACTAGTACCTGCCATGTATGCCTAGTTATGAAAGATAGTCATGTTACATCATAAAGGAATAATACATATTCACCTTATTTTCTTGTTGTGATTGCTTACTTCTTGTGCCATTTTTTAGATCAACGCTAGAAACAAAGTTAGGATCCCACGTGATGTGTTTGTATTCTTTCCAGAGCGACATTATAACTCAACATATGTAGCATAGGCTGCTCCTAACTACAGTGAAACTGATCAGCCTGTTGTTTTCCATAGTGAGCCATCTCTATGGCTTTGGACTGATGGATGCAGAGGCCATGGTGATGGAGGCAGAGAAGTGGACCACTGTTCCCCAGCAGCACGTGTGTGTGGAGAGCACCGACCGACAAATCAAGTAATGTTCGCTGCAAACAGAAAGCATGACATGCCTTGAAAGAGAGTAGGCTAGTGCTCTCTTGAGTGTTTGAAATAGCTCTTTGTTGTATGTGAAAGCTAAAAACTTGTATAGATTTTTTTCCCTAATGTAATTATAAAATTAGAGTGTCAAATATTTGAAACTATTAAATCCACATTTGTACAACTCAAGGATCCTTAAAAACATCCCTTAAAAGGGGTTGAGGGCAAATTTTATAGATGGACACTGTTTCTTCCTCTGTCACTATTTCTACTTGGTGGTACAAGTACTCTCCAAAAAAAGTTAACCTTATGGGCTGGAAATATAACTACATATTATGTAGTTCTCCAAGGAGTAGTGCAAAATTTTTTCTGAGTAAGTGAGATTATAGTTTGCGGAGATTTCAGCGCCTCTTGCCCTGTTTCAGCTGTACAATCTCAGAAGCTGTGCTGATAGGGTTTACTGGCAGTAGTGTGCACCGTCTCCTGCATGCTAAATCAGAGGAACAAGAGCCAGCTTAGTGATCTTATTAGTATTTTGTTTTTTGCTTTCTTTTTAAAGAGTTCTCAGAAAAATATTTATGTGAACGTTGGTTTTTAATAAAATTAGAACCATTACAATTCTTGAGAAATTTTTAGGAAGCAGACATAATTGTGTAAGCAGGCAACTGAGGGGTGCCCAGGGGCCCCAGGCTGTTAAAGGCTTTGCATCTCAAGGGAGGGTCTGGCCATCTGCATGCACAAAGGCAAAGAAAGCAGGTGTTTAGGGTCTTTACTCCATGTGCAGGGAGAGAGAGAAAAGAAGAGAAGGCATTCCTTCAAAGCCTGAAAAGTTCCCTTCCCTTCAAGGGCAAACACTCAGCCCAACAGGTTCAGCCCAAAATGGCCAGAATACTTGCCACAAATGTAGCTAACTTTCTGGCGAAGAGGAAAGGAGGTTGGCAAGTGAGAACAGAAGGAAAGACCCAAAATTCAGTAGCATATAACCCACCACAAGATCAAGGTACTAGCTGCCATGGTCTGCCAAAATGTGTAAGCCCCAGGAGCCGCCTCTCCAAATGTCTCTTCTGCAAAGGGTCCTCCTTTGTTTTACCCCCAGTATATATATATCACCCTCACGCCTTCCGATTGCTTCCCATAGAGGAAGTCCGGCTAATGGCCTGCTGGGAGGTGTAGTCCAAAGTGGCCGGTTGTAGGTCAGGGCTGGGGAAAGGACACCCGTTCAGCTGTGCTGTGATGCTCCTCCCCCTCGCCCCCCTCACATGGGTGCACCTGTCACAAATGTATGTTTTTGCATTATTCCACTCTTTAGGGGCAAAGAGAGAAAAAAGTTAAGAGAAAAAAAAAGCCAACCAGTAATTTTTGAGCACTTATGATGAGCCAACACAAGTGCAAAAACATCTGTGCATTTTCTTATTAAATGTATGTTTCCTTCTAAAACTTTATAAAAACTTGGTTATTATTCCCATTTGACAAACAAGGAAATGGAAACAAAGAGAATTTTTGTTTATTCATTCACAAAGTCATTTACTGATTCAACTATTTTTCTTGCATTTACTGGATATCAAGTTCTGAGCTAGCTTATCAGGAATACAAATTGGCATAAGGAAAGTTCCAGCCTTTGGGGAGTTTCAGTCTAGTGGGGAAGTCAAATAAAAATACATGTATAATTGATAGATAACAAATTATAATGGAATTCTGAAAAAAAAAAAATGCTGTTGGCCCAGCGTTGGGCCAACAGGTATAGTGACGCCTCTCCACCAGTTTAGGGGTCACCCCAGTAATCACCTAAGAGGTGGAAGGGACATATTTTTATGGTTACAATAACATTGTCGGTAAGTAAAATTCAAGCATTGACCATCAAGGAAGAAAGACTAGCTATGTGGTGGGGGGGGGGGGGGGGAGAAAGAAAGCTGAGAGTAGAGCATGCAAAGTTCCTGCAATGGGAAGAGAATTGAAATATCTCAGAACGTTGGTGCCCATGGTTGGAGCCCAGCAGGAAGTGAGAGTGAACAGAGTAAGGACCTGGGATTTTAACCAAGTCGCCACTGTACCAAAGGACCTGTATCAGGGGTTTGCAAAGTGTATTCCATAAATGAACTTCACTGTCACCTGAGAATTTGTTAGGAAATTCAGATTTCTAGAATGCACCCAGTCTGGAATAGGGACCCAGCAATCTGTTTTAACAAGGTGATACCAAAGCATATTCAAGTTTGATATCCTCTACCTGCCTGATGATAAATGAGCCTTCATTCCCCCCTTCCTCTCATTTGCATCTTTTTCACTACCAAATCAGTGTTTATCCTTTGAGTGACTTGTATGACAGGGTTGTGTCATTTAGCGTCCAGCAACCAGCCTCTTGTAACACAGTGAATAATTGCCCAAGCCTGCACATGACACAGCCAAGACCTACCAAACACTTTGCTTACTTACCCTCTTTCTCTCTGTTGCAGGACAATTCGCCCCAATAGTGCAGTGCGCTCCATCTACAAAGCTTCAGGCTGCTCCAGTAACCCCAACCGCCACGTCAACTACCTGGAACATGTGGTAGTGCGCATAACCATCACACACCCCAGGAGGGGCGACCTGGCCATCTACCTGACCTCACCGTCAGGAACCAGGTCCCAGCTTTTGGCCAACAGGTACAGTGATGACCCTGTCCACTAGTTTAGTGGTACCCCAATATTCAGCTAGTCTTTAGGGAAGTCTGATTCTGACTCTTAATTCCACTGCGTGTATTGTGTGTAGCGCCACCTGGGTACCATACAATTTAACTAAATTTCAAGTTCATATTGTCACCTATGCTTTTGACTAGTGAACTATAGAGCAAAACCTCCCATAACCCCCTCTTTGGGTTCAATCCATTTGTTACAGTGCTTCACAGAGCTCAGGCACCTCTTTATTAATTAAATAGATATATGACTCAGAAATGGCCAGATGTAAGAGCTGCACAGGTGAAAGCATTGGGGAGAGGTCCTGTCCTTCAGGAGTGTTTGGGAAGCTGGGGTGTAGGACAGTTATCAGCAAGAATGAACAGAGTGGGGAGAGGTCAGGTGTCTAATAGAACTCATTCCCATTACAATTCTCAAAGGCAAAGCACAGCCAAAGTCTTTAATTAAAGTTTCTTTAATTCAACTTTGCTTCAAGAAGAATGTTTAATGGGTGTGAAAGTATCTGTGGCATATGTAGACCAAATGAAGCTAGTTCCTTTATGTGAACATCACCATCTGTCCAAATGCCAAGTGACCTTTGTTAGAACACCTCAACAGATCAGAGGAGTTTAAAGGTCAAGGGCCTGTGCAAACTTGCAGAAACTAAAATGAGACTGAACAGGTACTGGTTGCTTTTCTGAGTCTTCAAACTTCATCTGCTATAGCCCAGTGAGTGGAAAGAAAACATCTCTAGGTGATCCTGACTAGGAATACAAAATCCAAATCCAAATCTTTAAGCTCCTTGTATTTCTGTGCCTGGAAGAGCTGCTGTGGTCTTTAAGACCTGATGTCTTCCATGAGGCAGGGGAAACTTTAGCTTAGTACTTTACTAAGCACAGCTTTGCTTAAATAAGTGTATACAGGTGCAGAGGAAGCAGGCTTTGGCATCAGATTGCCAGGCTTGCACTCCTCCCTTTGCCACAGAGGTTTCAGCTGCTGCCTGCCACATAATTGCCTCTACCTGCCTGATGCTTCTTTCCAACAAGCAAGGCCTTTACCTGCACGATTTTGTGATTAGTGGTACACCTAGCTGTTGTTACCAAAGCTAGGGAAGGCCTTTTACTTTGCTACTTTTTCTTTTTTTTCCATGTTCTATTGTGATTCATAGTGAGAAATATATAAGTATACACTTAGTCTTGATCTGTTTCCAGCACAGAGCTTCCAAAACCCCTTGCACTTCCTAAGTGATGAGAGCAAGAAAGTTTCTTTTGTTATGTTAATGAGGTTACTTTTGGAAAACTGGGAGTCTGGGTGGTTGCAGTGATAAGACAATTGGCACTTCCCCTCCCACCCCTATCTGACTTTCTGGAGGAAACAGAAGATGACTGAGTTCTGTCACCTGTGGTCAATGATTTAATCAGCAGCACCTATGTAAAGACGCCTCTATAAAGACATGAGAACAGATGGCAGACTGCTGCTAGGTTGGTGAACTTGTGGAGATTCAGCAAGAGCAGCTGCCTGGAGTAGGATGGAAACTCTGAGCCAGATCCCCATACCTTGACTGTGTGTCTCTTACATCTGGTGTTCCTGAGTTACATCCTTTTCTTAAAAAGCCAGCGATCTAGTAAGTGAAATGTTTCTCTGAGTTCTGCTCTAGTAAATTGATCGAATTGAAGGAGGAGGTCACTGGAACCTCCTGTGTGTGGCAGGAATGTCAGAAGCACAGATTGCAACCTGGGATTGACTGCCCCTGAAGTGGGGGTCAGGGCGAGGCAGTCTTGTGGAACCAAACCCTCAGTCTGTGGGATCTGGTGTTATCTCTGAGTAAAGAATTACCAGACGCAGAATTGAATCAAATTTTTGGATTCAGTGTGATAGGGAAGACTTGCTTTTTAGTGTGGGGAACCCTCCATACATTAGAATTGGTGGCTGGAAACAGCTTCATTGGTGAAGTGTGGTGCTTTGCTTCCCACATGTGTGGCTCTTAATCTCTTGAGCCCTCTGTGTTGTAAGAAAACAGTCTTTCCACGGTCTCTGCTTAGAAAACTCAGTCTCTCGGCCTTGGCCTTTCTGGGCTCTTCTGCATATTTCAAGTGTTTCTTGTTGGCTTGCCCTGAAATGACTTCAGTGAGGAAACTTGTGAGCAGAGGAGCTATGGATTCCATCACAGGCATTTGGTGGATTACAGTGTCACTGGCTTCAGTCTCGCATGCATTCTTCCACCCTGGACATCTGCTTTGCTCTTTGCAAAGTGCTGAACCCAAGATGCTGCATGACTTGCGTCAGAGGAGAGAAACAGGCATTTCAAGCTCTAGGTGCCCAACAGTAGAAAGCTTTACCTCCTCTTCCCCATAAAGACCCCCTGGAGAAAAGGTTTGCAGCCGAAGTATATCCTCTGCATCCACAGCGTTTACTGAAGGTGCTGCGCTTTTGTGTATCTTCTGTTTCTGTGTTGAAAATAAGTAGCCACCAAAAAGAGTAGCAGATTTGGAGTGGAGGAAGGAGGCTGGAGGCACTGAGAGATGTAAAGGATGTTATGAATTCATTTGTCTACAGCTCCCCCAAAACATTGCTCTGAGCATCTGACCCTTTAAATTCAAAACAGCTGTAGCTAGTCCTGAAAACTCTGCCTCTACCCTGTCCTTGCTCTTTCTGCTGGAACCCTCCTTCCTAGGGCAGCTAAGGAAAACGGTTTCTTTTGGCATGGCTTCCTTCTGGCATATCTGAAGCTTTAATTTCATGTGAGGAACTCTGCACTCAAAACCTCTCAGTTTCTGATCTAATGGCAAGTAATCCTCGTATCCAGTCACCTTAGCCCTGTTTGAAAGCACACTTCAGGGTGTGGGAGCTCAAAGTGAGCTGAGAAGGGAGTGTTGTGGGGGTTGGGCAGACGAAAGGCTGCTTTACTCCTGGCATCCTTCATGTTGGTGTGAAAGGCAATAATGGCTTTTCTCACAGAAAAGGTGAGAGGTCAGGTTTTAGAAGGAATTTTTGTGTCAAAGTTTATTAATGAGAGCAATATATAGTTCCCCTATTGGACACTTACCTTTCTTTCAAAGAAGTCAAGATTTCTAGAGAGGGCCATTTAAAACAAAGGACACTGTGCAGATAAAAAATTCTGAAAGACTTAGGACATACTTTCCATGGTGTGATTCACCTGAGATGAAGAGCTAGAGCTGTGGTGGTGTTACAAGGTAGCCCAAAGTAAACTTGGGCTGCCTGTATGTGGGTCCTACCCGGGTGCTTAAAATGTAATTTTCTGCAGACACACAAAAGGGTAATGGGTTTATTTACAAAAGGGGAGAGAGAGTGGGATACAAAGTAATTGGAATATCTTACCAGCTCCCCTAACTTGGAGCTCTAGTCACAAACTAACACTGCTAGCCCCCCCAGTCACACAGTCTGAGAGTCGCTGCTCCAGAGAGAGAACTGTTGCCTCTCCAGAGCGACAGTTGGAAAACCGCTCTTTATCCCCCAAGGTCCCAGAATGCCGGCTTAGCTGCGCCCTTGGGTCCTTGCAGTTTTCTCCTTGGTACTGCTGGGAGTTGTAGTTTTCCAATCACTGGAGTAGGGGGTGGAGTCCACAAAACTCTGCAGAATTTCTTTAGAACATCCTTCTCCTTAACAGTGGCAGAGTCATCCCCATGCCACCTCTCCTCCTTGTGAGGTGAGGCTATTCACAGTGTGTGTTTGTCGCAAAAGCAGGAGGTATGCTGAGGGCTAGCTCAGGGCCATAATTCCAGGCTCCTCATGTGCCCTCCCCTTTGTGATACAGAAAGTAGAAATATGGAAAATGAGAGACGGGATTGCCCTCCATTAGTATCTGTGACTGTTGTTGTTTCCACTATTGACAAAACATGTCCTTGTATTGGGACCTGAAGAATACTTTTCCCAAAGGAAGCAAAGCTGTTAGGGTCAGCTTTCCAGAAGTCCTTAAGTTTCTAAGGACACTTGAGAGGAAGAATCAGTGTTGTTGATCCATTCCCCACAGCAATTCCATGGGAATGAATTTCCCACAAAGTCACTGAACACTTAATTTGTGTGGGCAGTCGGGAGCCCCTCAGTGCCGCCCCATCCCAGCTGATGGGCACTTGCTGGAACTCCTATGGAGAACAGCTGTTTGAGGAAGAATAGTTTCCCCAAGCATCTGCAGGTGCTCGGCCCTGGAAGGCACTCAGCCGCCTTCACAACTAGTCCAACTTGAGCTGTGTGCCCCATTAGCCCAGCATGCGTGCACCCCTGGCAAACCAGATTGTTAATTTAGTGGGTGGGAGACCCAAAGAGAACAGTCCTGGCATGGACAAATGAGTTCTCTTCCCTTTATTTCCTCTCCCCCTTCCCCAACCCTTCCCTTGGCCTAAACACCCTCTTGAACACAAAGCCAAACTGAATAGCCAGTACAGTTTACTTCTAGAAAGAATAATAAGGTCTGGCATTGTGGTGGTTGTGGGGGGTGGGGGGTAGCTATTTGGGCTTGGGTCCCATTTCAAAATGTTCTTAGATGAGAGCAACTTTAGATATCACATACACTCTCACATTTAGATTCTGTCTGTGTAAAATTTTTCAAACAAAAACTTGTCCATCAGATTTTCCCTTCAACTGCTTTTTTTAGAATTATGAAAAGCTATGGTCTCCACCCCCCCCCCTCATGAAATCTCCTCTTCCTCCAACTCATCAAGTTTTCAATTTAATTTAGCTGTATTGGCTCTCTGTTCCAAATTTTGGCCCCTGACTGAAAACTGAAACTTTGACTCCCTTTCTAAATTTGATTACAGATGAATAGTTCTGCTTCTAATTATAGTCTTAAGTAGAGAGAAGGTACACTTTTACCCTGCAAAAACTATGGAGTTGTATAATTAAGTTTAAAAGCAGTATTTATATCTGAACCCATTTTGTCGCTGCCCTACCCAAATGTTCAGTGACAGACTTCTGACATATTTAAAGTGTCATGCTCTATAAATGCATATGTGCGTTAGTAGTAAAAGTTATAC